AGTGGACTAAAAGATGGGCTAAGGGCTGATGTGAGAGTCCAAAACCCCCAAAGTCTATCCGCTGCAATCGGGCTAGCACGTACCTATGAACTCAAGGCCCAAGAGGTAAGGCGCTCCACTAATACAACCTTTCATTCTTCAGTTCGCAACTCCAACAGCCAATGGAACCATTCAAACCCGAGTGGTTCTAAAAACACCACTCATGAAAAGATTTTACCCATCTGTAAATTATCCCCAGTCGAACTCCAAAAGCGGCGAGAACAAGGTTTGTGCTACAATTGTGATGAAAAGTATACATTGGGTCATAAATGTAAGAAACTATTCTTCATTGAATTAGAAGAAGAGGATGAAGAGACCACTGGAGAGGAATATGTAGAAGAGACACCGGCTATCTCTTTACATGCCTTGGCGGGGGTCCAATCACCACAAATCATGCGTGTCCACTCACAAATTGGTAAGACACCATTAACAATTTTAATTGATTCTGGTTCCACTCACAATTTTTTGCATCATAAATTTGCCAAAATCAGCGGACTCAAGCCGGAAAGAGGCTGCTTGTTTAATGTGGTGGTCGCTAATGGGGAAAGATTGCCAAGTCCGGGACGTTGTAATGGAGTAAAATTATCCCTGCAAGGCATTCCAATTGAGGTAGATTTTTTCTTGCTTCCTTTAGAAGGTTGTGATGCTATTCTAGGAGTACAGTGGCTGGGTACTCTTGGCCCGATTTTATGGGATTTTGGAAGGATGCAGATGTAGTTCACTCTAGCTGGGCAAAAGGTGTTGCTACAAGGTTCAGCATCATCAGAACTTCGAGCTCTCGAAGGTGAAACTCTTCCTAGAACATTAAGGCAAAGTGATGGTAGGGGAATTATCTTACAGCTATGGGCAATCCAGCAAGAGCATACAGATCGTGAGGATTTACTGCCTGAAACAATGGGGCCTTTACTCATTGAGTTCAGCGACCTGTTCGAAGCCCCCATGGGGCTACCACCTCCGCGCTCTCCTGATCACAGGATTCCTCTCCAGATAGGAGCAGGACCAACTTGTGTACATCCGTATCGATACCCGCACTTTCAGAAACGAGAGATTGAGTGCTTGGTGGAGGAGATGCTATCACAAGGTATAATTCGTCCTAATCAAAGCCCATTCTCCTCTCCAGTACTTTTAGTACGAAAACACGATGGGAGTTGGAGGTTTTGTGTAGACTACCGAGCACTAAACCGGGTGACGGTCAAAGATAAGTTCCCAATTCCTGTCATAGATGAATTATTGGATGAGCTACACGAAATTCTTCACCAAACTGGATCTCAGATCCGGGTACTTCCAAATACGGATGAATCCTCTTGATGTGCATAAGACAGCCTTCCGAACTCACCATGGGCACTTCAAATTTCTGGTAATGCCTTTCGGCCTCTCTAACGCCCCATCTACATTTCAATCACTCATGAATGAAATTTTTAGGGCTCACCTAAGGAAATTTATCTTGGTATTCTTTGATGATATTCTAATTTATAGCAACACATGGGTTGAGCATCTGAAACATGTTAGAATTACCTTTTTCTATTTTACGAGCCCGTCATCTTGCAGTCAAGAAAGAAAAGTGCCAGTTCGGGCAAACCCAAATCAAATATTTAGGGCATATTATCTGTCAAGACGGGGTGAAGGTGGATCTAGAAAAAATAAAGGCAATGGTGGAATGGCCAAAACCAACAACCATTAAAGCCTTGCGAGGTTTTTTAGGACTAACGGGCTATTATCGAAAGTTTATTGCAGGCTATGGCAGAATTGCAGCCCCCTTGACCAACATGTTGCGAAAAAATGCCTTTTCTTGGTCCCAAAAGGCAGAAGAAGCGTTTGAATTATTGAAACAAACCATGACGCAAGCTCCAGTTTTAGCCTTGCCGAATTTCGAGCTCTCGTTTGTGGTGGAATGTGATGCATCAGGGAATGGATTAGGGGCTGTCCTAATGCAAGAACAAAAACCTCTTGCTTATTTCAGCACCGCCTTGAAAGGAAAACATCTATTGCTGTCCACTTATGGAAATGAACTTATGGCACTGGTTCTCACAGTAAAAAAATGGTGACCTTATTTGCTTGGATGTCACTTTGTGGTTCGAACTGATCAACGCAACCTCAAATTCCTTTGGGAACAACGAATAATGACAAAACCACAACAAAAATGGCTGCTCAAATTAATGGGTTATGACTTCTCCATGGAATACAAAAAGGGCAAGAATAATATGGCAGCAGATGCTCTATCAAGAAGAGAAACACATGGGGAGTTAAATGCAGTCTCTAGCCCTCTTCCTCAATGGTTGGAGTCCATCAAGGGCGAGAACCAGTCACACCCGAAGCTGCAACGAATTCATCACTTATATGAGCAAGGAGAAGCTATTGGGCCATGGGTAAATCGACATGGCGTAATGTTCTTTAAGGGACGTATCTATCTTCCATCAAACTCAGAACTCATCCCAATCATTCTCTAAGAAATCCATGGTGCCGGACATGAAGGACTTTACAAAACTCTTCATCGCGTAAAAGCGATATTCTATTGGAGACAGATGAGGAAAGTTGTACTGGATTACATCCAGCAATGTGATGTATGTCAACGCCATAAGATAGATCATCAGAAACCAGTCGGGCTTCTCCAACCATTGCCTATCCCAACACAGGTATGGTCCAACATCTCTATGGATTTTATTGATGGCCTTCCCCCATCTAAGGGGAAGATAGTCCTCTTTGTGGTGGTAGATCGTCTGTCCAAATACGCACACTTTATTCCAATGTCTCACCCATACACTGCACCAAAAGTGGCCAAATATTCTTTGAAAATGTGTTCAAACTCCATGGCATTCTGTGTTCAATAGTATGTGATCGAGACTCCACTTTTATAAGTGCTTTTTGGAAAGAGCTTTTCAAATTGCAAGGGACTAGTTTCAACTTCAGTTCATTTTATCACCCCCAAACAGATGGCCAAACAGAGGCAGTAAATCGAACTCTTGAGATGTACCTGCGTTGCTTTACTAGTTCAAGACCCAAGGAGTGGGTCCAATGGGTYCCTTGGGCCGA